TTTGTGTGTGTGTGTGTGTGTGTGTGTGTGTGTGTGTGTGTGTGTGTGTGTGTGTGTGTGTGTGTGTGTGTGTGTGTGTGTGTGTGTGTGTGTGTTTAAATTAACATGTAACAAATTATTTAAATAAAGGGTTGTTAATGGGATGTGTGCTGCTGTAAACTGCTATAGGTCAAAAGAGGTTATTCAACTGTTTTATAAGAATGACACAGATGTGAAGTTAACATAAGGTAAGACGCTACATAAACATATATATTATTTGTTTTATTTAATATTTTGAAGCGTTATTATCCCTAGAAATAGATACATCCTGGTCCAACAGAAAACACACATGAATACGATTTTGCAACATTTTGGAAATTGTCACTTTAAATCTTGTCGTTTAGAAGATGAAAAATCTTCCATGCCCCCAAACTATGTTAGTCAAGCCCTTGTCCTGAAAGGGTAGAAATCCCCTAGGCTCCATGACATGACCTAATGAGAGAGATATTAACTGACATAAACAGCACAGCTTTTATTATGGAAGGCCTACTTTTCTGTGTTAGCTCGATACATTGTCTTTTGGGAAATATTAGTTTACATTTCTTTTTATGCTCAATTAACTGACATATATGATGACGTGTTTCCATCCCCTTGTGTTTTAATACATTTATGTGCATGATGGATGATGATTTGGAGGTGTCTGTGATAGCATCACTGCATATATTAGCATTGTTTGTCTATTCACCCACTCCAAATCTCTATTTCCCCCGCTGTGTTTTGCAGTCACATTTAATTATAGGTACTTTGTGGAACACTTTTTATCCCATGCACTGAACGCCTCATTTTCTCAACTTGCATTGCTCCACAATCCACTTCAAATATTCATGGGCTATTTCAGAACGTATTTTGTTGCCGGTGGCCTCGGCTGCCTTATCCGCTCAGAGACTACTGGCACAGCTGGATGTGACAGCCCTAAGACAAGAGGTAGTTTTTGTTGAAGAAGGATTAAACAAGTTCCCTCTGTATTGTCAGGGAAAAGGCTTGTAATAAAGTAGTTGGAGGATGAAGAGAAGAAAAAGCAGAAGACAGGTAGTGTTAGGCTCACTGGCTGCAGAAAGTCCTCTTGAAAAGCTGTTTCTTTGATAAGTTGGCGAGGGACTGAAACTTTGTCACACATCCATTCTCCGACACATGTGGCTCTCGTCTTTCACCCTCTGCTCCTCTGATCCATGCAGTAACTTTAATCTCCATCATCATCTGCTGCTTTGGTTTGGCGTGGCACCCAACAACTGGTATCCTGTTTGCCTGAGTCACGAAACTAAACGCACACACGTGTTTTACCCCGATTGCTCTTGTAGCTTAGCCATCACGCAAAGTTGCAGTACAGGTGCTAATTGGACTTATCAAAGGTACCTTTTCAGGATGATGGATCACGCAGAGATAAAGGCTGCAAACTGCTGCCTCAGTGAAGGAATGTTGGTGCCAAGCAGAAGCATCTATAGAGAATAGAAAAGGCTCAGTAATGTGTTGTAATGTTGTAATGTGTGTAAGTGTTGGAAGGTGTGTTAATAGCTTCTGTGCTCACCTCCGAAAGTCACCGCACGTTTAAGGCACTGATATAAACGGTAAAGGTGGAATTTATAAGAAAGTTTCAAAGGTCTTCTCTTATGAAATCTGCACTTACACCAAAGCATTGGTTTACTACACCTCTGCTGGGTGCCTTGTTAATAGTGGCAGTGTAGCTGGCTTTAATGCTACGCTAATGAGCTTAACCAGAGTGGAACATGAGAGATTTGGCTCTGTGTTTATCTGCAATCCCTGCATTCCCTCTCCATGGTCAACTCACTTGACTCTCACAGTCAAAGTTCTTCCACTGAAATTTAAACATGGAGTGTGGCTAGAGCCCTTCTAGATAAATGTAAAATGAGCTACACGTATTTCACATCCTTCCTGTGGTTTGTAAGAACAGACATAATCATGTCTTCCTAATCTTCTTTTTTGAGCAATGAGTCATTCACATGCTGTAAACCCACAAAGCATGCAACTCTGTAAGTTTCATTTGTATTTATAAGCATCTTAATAGAGCAGGAATGAAGGTGCTTCTACTTATGCAGTTCTCCTTTTTGTCCACTGGGGGGACTCTGTGAAGTTGATACCAAGTCTTGACTTGATGTCCACTTCAGTTAGTTGTGATTAAGTGACTACGGGATTTGGCTGTGGGTGGGACTTTATCATTTGTTCTGTCCTGTTGAAACATAGATGATCTGACTTTATCATAAAATTATAAGACAGCTAAAAGTTTAAATCCAGAAGAGTTGAAGAAGAAAATAGTGTGGCAGGTGGTTCTGGGAGGGCACTGACATTCTACCGTTGTCTCTGTTGCGTGACTGCTCAAGGGTGGAGCTCAGTGAACACTATGTACCTATGTTCTTTATGCAAATATAGCCTGTGTGTGTGTGTGTGTGTGTGTGTGTGTGTGTGTGTGTGTGTGTGTGTGTGTGTGTGTGTGTGTGTGTGTGTGTGTGTGTGTGTGTGTGTGTGTGCACACACACACACACACACACACACACACACACACACACACACACACACACACACACACACACACACACACACACACACACACACACACACACACAGGCTATNAGAAATGGGTGTCAAAACTAATCACCAAACATATAGACAAAGGTTTCGCTCCACTCCACCCAATGCAGTTTGGTTTTCGTGCTCACCACTCCACTGAGACAGCTGACTGTGTCTTTGTGGAAAAGGTTAAATGTATGTCGGACACGAGCCCATATGTAGGTGCTGTCTTCCTTGATCTCAGGAAGGCTTTTGACACTGTTGACCACCAAGTGCTCCTTACAAAGCTGACTCATTTCAATTTTTCGGCAGATTCAATACATTGGGTTAAGTCTTAACAGAAAAACGTTCGATAAGTGTGTTTTGGTCAACGGTACCAAATCCCCCTACCTTGTCAACCCTGTTGGGGTTCCACAAGGTTCCATTCTTGGACCATTACTGTTTTCACTGTACATTAATGACTTGCCTAATGTACTGTATGTCCTGAGTTGAATGTACAAATGTATGCAGATGATGCGGTCATCTTTGTACATGGGAACAACACTGAAATGATCTCATCTTGTCTCTCAAAAGCTTTGGACAAGGTTCAACACTGGCTGAGAACAAAATTTGCTTACAGTTAAATGTAAAAAAAACAGTATGCATGATGTTCAGTAAGACCGACCAGTCAAACGAAGGACCACGTTTTTAATGGAGCACAGAAATAGAAGTAGTCCCACTGTCAAGGTATCCCTGGACGTCAATATTGGATCTCACTCTGTTACTCGGTCTGTAAGAGAATTTACATCTGGCAGGGGGAGAGAAGTATCCAATAACCGGATGGAGGTTTGTTTCCAAATTTCCTGTATACTTTTTTGTTTTTTTTCTACATTGTCTTTATAACAGAATTTTTTGACCTTTCTTAACCGTTCAAT